CTTCATATGCAGCCATATACACTCGCGTAGCGATCGAGGGCGCGAGATACCCGAACGTGAATTAAATTGCATTCTGGGAAATTTCGTCAAAATTTCAAAGACGTATACTTATACTTCATATGCAGCCATATACACTCGCGTATATATATATATATATATATATACCAATCATTACACATCTATGATTTGAGTATACCCAAACCTGGCAATTTTCCTAGTTTACGGTGAAACTTCGTGCCGCAGTCTCCTATATGTTTTATCCTGGATATACTTTCAAGGGGAACCTAGTAGAAGACTCAGGACCGGAAGCTCGTGCGTGCGTTTATGGTATATAAAGGAGGTTACGTTGCAACTGCTCACAGCCGGTACAAAGCGTCACCATAAACAACCATACAGAGCCCAGTCTATACATAGTCGGACTGACGCGTCCATTTGTTATTCAGCAGTTATATTATCGTCAATGGGATTTCATGCTTTAGCAGCTGAAATGCCCAACGAAATGCGCGCGTTTACGTCACGCAAAGATAAACAAACGAAACTGCTGCGTTATCGAATGCACGAGCCAGAAATCGAATGAAGATTTTAATCTGGTAAATAAATAGATGGTAGAGTCCGTTAGCATAGGTGGTATATATAACTAATATATTACCCAGAGATATATAGGTATAGTGGCGGAGGGACGTGAAACATGAAAAAAAATACGATCGCGTCATGCTCGTGAAAATAAGTCGCTGAATTCTCATTGACGCACGCGGCCGAGATCGCTAGTGGATAAAATCTTTGGAAATAACCAGACGCTAACAGGCACCGCGAACAGCGGGTAGGACGGCAAGGGGCAACCCTTGTGCGCGTTCGTATAGAGCCATGGTGAATATTTTAAGGGCGTCGAGTAGCGGGACGGCCTATGAATGGATAAGGGGTAGGTCGGTGCCGGGGAAGGGGTGTAATAAAAAAAAAAAAAAGGGCAGATCCCAAGGCTCGACTGTAAAATACGGACGTAATAACGAGATTTTTTAGCGTTCAGGGTGCGTGTACCCTAGTCAGGGTGCTTATTCGTGCCGACCCACCCTCATCTTGCAGTACGACCTGGACCGGTAAAGGATGCTGTGTTTGGTCCAGCATAGCCGGTAATCGTTAAGAGCGGACAATGCCTCGAGCTAGATCCTAACGACTGACGTATACGAACCCCGTGTAAAACGCAGCCATGTTAACCCACGGGTTCATTTTGCTGTGTAGAAGCAGACGGGTCAAAGTTTAACTTGGGATATTTTTATTATGTAATTTTTATTTTTACTTCTGCCGCTAGAGGCGCCTGTAGTCGCCGGAAACGATACTTGGGCTGTATTGGATTTTCCCGGGAATCGAACTGCCGGGTCGTTTCTCGCGTTGAAGACGAAGACTTCGGCTGTGCCAATTCTGAGCTCGATTGTCATCGGTTTCTCCAGGTCGGTGCTACTGGCAGATACATGGAGGACAGATCTGCTTGTTATCTCACGCCTAAGATAGACCGCTTAGATTAACCATGGAGAATTGATGTATTATCTGTACGATGTAGCGTCTGGCTTGTTACTCCCCTTTGGCAATGCATCGTTACGTAATGGATTGGGGCATTTGCCGTGCATCCTAATCAGTGGTACTTCCTGGATCCTTTTGGGCGAGGATGCTGAGTTATTGGAGATGATAGATCGTGGTAATTTAAAGGGGAATGGTGATAGGTGCATCTGTGGGTGGGAAATAATTTTTTTGGAAATAATTTTTTTGGAAATAATTTAATTTTTTTTTTTTTTTTTATCTCATCTTAGTCATCATTTTTGGGATATTAGCTCCATATGCAAATTTCGCTGATACCACGGAGGAGTACGTGACTCGCGTAAACCACCGGTTTTTCTAAATAATCCTAATACCTATTTCCGTAACAAAACTTTTTTTTCATGTTTTACCATTCTTTTATGTATTAGATAAACCGAGGTCGTAAATTTGCCTATTAAATTTTTAAGAGCGTATCTCCTACATCCACCGACACACGAATTCCTTTTTTTTTTCACTTTTCTCTGTTATTACTCGTGGCTATTAAGTTTTTATATACACTGGATACACGTGGTGTGTACCACGTGGTCAGGGACGAATGTTGGGTTTTTAATTCGAGATAATTTTTCCTCATCTCCTTGATCGATCGGATTAATATTTAAAACGTAATTACGCGTTATCAAGCGAACAGCGGAAATGTGCAAAGCGTAACGTTACAGCTTGCCTATAAAACTCTGAATTTGTCCGCGCGCGTATCGTTAAGACGAATTATCTCGTGATTAAAAAATTTTTAATCGTTATTACAAACCGTTTTAATTCTATACCGCGAGGGTTAAAAATAATCCTCACTTAATGACCACCGTGTAGACACTTTAACGCGATCAAATCTTTTCCGTTCAAAGGTATAATCGTCGCTTTAATCCCGCATCCAAATTCAGTGTCCCCGTCGAGCCACGAGCACGTTAAAGGAATTCGCGAATATTAATTGCGCAAAATACAGCTGTCTCCATTCCCACGTGGAAGTTACAGTCTAATGCAACGGATGCCGTTGCGGTTGTTATTCGCACGATGCGATTCCGAGTATTCGTAAAATGAAAGTGGAGCACGAGCCATTAGTGTCCTCGCGTCATGACCGCCCTAACGAATGTCTTTGGTAAAATTTTCGCAGCTCAAAAAAAAAAACCGCCACTCTGACGTCTACTACGATTCGTTTTTTCATTCGCCCGATTTCAGCCTTGAGAAAAATCGCGCGACAAACCGGCGCTCGACGTATTCAAAAATTCCCGCCAGCAAGATGACAAGCAAAAGTATTTATTTTGCTCCGAATGGACCAACGACGTGATCGGATTAAAAAAAAAAAATGTTAATCAAAATTTTTACAGCTCAAAATACGATAACGAACACGAGAGGAAAAAACAAAGTGCTCCTTTAACGTGCAATCGCGACGGGAATATATTTTGTGATTTTCATCTGAAAAAAAAAAATCCTCTACCTACCAAGTAAATTTCATCCCGTTGCTCGTAAACAATCTAAGCTTTCTCTGGCAATGACGTATTTACAACGGCTTTTTGAAACAGCAAGACAGAGACTTCATTCACGGCGCATTTGCATGTAATAACGAGGGCCGCGACGCGATAGGAGATTCGCGTGGAACGACTGCAAAGGGATGTTACTTTGTGTCGTAAAAACGATAGAAAATAAATTTCCAGGAGTTTCGGTGTAGTCGGGTAAAACCAGCAGTTAACAACCGGCGCTAGCGATTTTTAATTACACCAAGCACGGTGGGAGTACCTAAAGCCGAGTCCACACAGTATATAAAACATTTCCGTCTGCGCATAATAAGAATTCACAATGCACGCTTAATAACCCAAATACACGACACGAGTAATCAACGTCAATTATATCATTAACCCAATTAAGAATCCCACACTCCTATAAAATCCCAGTCACTGTAATAAAAAAAAAAAAAATTTGATATGATTTATCGAATAAATAAATTTTCTTAATTAAAGAAAATCTGTCCAAAAATCATCATACGGGAGTCATACTACACCCGAGACTTGACTGCTTCCTTATATGCTGTGTCTCAGGGGTATTTGCTTCGCTTCTAATTAAAGTGAAGTTGACTCATTACCGTCGGTAGGGTGAATTCCGTATAGGGAGCAGGACGGGAGAAACGGGGAGAGACCGAAGGCTGATTGTGAGTATGCGAATGTGAGATACGTAAGGGATGAGAAGCACGCAAGAGATACCAGGGGCAGACAGGAAACATTGGAGCAGGAATTGGAGTAGGAATCTTAACCACGTTGCGATAACGCTATCAGCCCTGGTACCGTTCACACTCGAAGTGTATATATATATGGTACCCGTTACGTATCTGAAAGTATATATATATATATTTTATATACCCATATATGTACCTAGGTAAGTAGATATACGACTCTACATATGTAATATACATACTGCTATATCCTATTCTCGCACCCTTAACGTCGGCCTACCTACTCTTTGCCGTCCCCCCTTTACGCTTTACAGCCTGGCAATGCCCAACTCCCCCCGTAAACACACGAAGCGTTTACATGTTTCACCCATCCAGCTCTGAATTACTCCTTGCTAATCCCACGCTGTGTAATATTGCCGCACCGTCACCGCGCCAAGGTTATTCATAACCCCCTGTATAACCAGAATAATACGGTCTTGCCTTGGGTTCGTGGCGGCCGTAGCTATCAGAAGGCGGTTAAATACGTCAATGTATTCGTACGGAGGGTATAGAAGTTATGATCGGAGGATTATTTTTTGGCATTATAGATTTTACCTCCTACCGTCAGGTCCCTTATCGATTTATGGGAATGAGACAGAGATGGTGGGGGGGTGGGGGGGATATGAAATATCGAAAATTATTTTGGGAATTTTAGCAACAAAATTTTTTGGACTTACCGAGTGGGTCGCTGAATTTTTGCTAGACTGGATATCGGACGATTCTATGACGGACGTCATAATGGAGTTCTGGTAACATAGAAGGAAAAAAAATGCTAGTACGTCAGATTAATTTCCGTCTCAACTATTTCTTAGCTTTTACCCTTTCACGTTAGTTTCCTACCATTTCACCGTTTTTCTCGTATAACCCCATCCTCGAGATTTATAACTGACTCGGTGCAGATTCTTATACTCGTAAATTGCATCCCGCGAGGGTAGAATGAGGGATGAGCTCGCGCCGCTCTAATTCGCCTAAAGACTCCAGCCGGCTTGTCCTAGCCCATTTTAAACTTACTTCCTCGCAAACCTCTTATTATAATAGCAGTTGAAGTTTAATTCAGCCAGTTTTCACGGACTCGAACTGACGCCAACTTCGTAATTTGTTTGTCAAATGAATTTATGCGACTGTTCGCGGTGTCATTCAACTCGGCCTTTTACTGTGTCCTACGGATATTACACATACTTCAGCTATACGTCACACTGACATTTACAACTAATGACTATACAATTTCGCATTTACATAACCAATAGAAATTTTAATTTTACCACTGCGATTCTAGCGTGAATGAAAAATAATTTTTTTTGGAATTTTACAACTCTTTAGTTTCGAAAAAAAATTTATTTCTAGCGATGATGATTTTTCAATGTTTTCATTTTTTTTTTTTTTTTTTTTTTAAGTAATTCTACACCAACCAATAAATTATTTATACGGCGCATCCAATTTCTTAAGGAAACCCGTTAAGAAGAACTGTAACTAACAGTCGCGAGTTGTATAGGAAAATATGTAAAGATCCTATCTTAAGCGATCTGAACCGATTTGGAGCGACGCGGCGATGGTGTATTGATTACGGGTATGGCGGGTACAGGTGGAATCCATTTAAACAGTACAGCCCGGTAGAGCCTGGAAAGAAGCTCTTGTTGCGTGGCTAGCGAACCATGCCAATACGAGAGAGGTTAGCAATGCTAATTATATGGCTCTTCTTATAGTACTCATACCAGTTGCCTGGGCGAATATACCAAGATCGTATTGTGTTACTATCCCCGATGGTTCTGGGTTCTGAAACAGCCGCTCCCACGGTAGGTTAGGCTAGGTTCCATCTTTCCACCTACTGTGGGCACCGCGAGATCAGCGCCAAGATTGCTTTCATCATTTTATGCCTGTTACGTGCTCCAACGACGATGGTTCGGTCGCTAAGCTTTAATAGGGTTTAGTTTACTCTCTTGAACCATTAGCGACCAAGTGTCGCATCTTTCTTTATGACCGCCCGACGACAATAGATAATGAAATAACAGGGTTAAGGATTGTTTATTCAATTTTCTATATTAAAACATTTTTATATATCGTTCGTTTATGAAAATTTTTCGATTTTTCATTCGCTTCGGCAATATACTTTTTATCCCACAAATTTATCGGTACGTCTTATGGTGGATGTGTGGTTGCCTTGAAATTACTAAATCTTTGCCTAAAAACCGTGAAACAGAGTTTCGCAAAAAAGGATGCCCTTCGCGCACGACCGCTTTGACCACGATAAACGACGGATCAAGGCTTTCAGGATGAGAATCAATCCCCATACTTGCCTTTATTCTTGCCACTCGCAACCCGCTGTAGTTTTATGTATCGTTATGTATTACAATTTATGGTGGTTAATATGGGGGGGAGGTGACTTTTATCGGAGTACCTGTGGTGGTTTGAAAAATATTTTTTTTATCGCACAGAATTGATTTTTCGAAAAATTATTCTTTCACGAGTTTCGCGTTACTAACGTTACTTTTGCCAATTATCCATTTCCGGTTACTGGTTACAATTGTCGTAATAATAATTTGCATTGTTTATGTGATAATCGTAATCGTAATGTCCATCCATTCCATGGTTATGTAATTTCGGTATCGATCGACTCCTACAAAATTGACATTCGCTCTGCTCACCGTCTATAAATTGATGCTGGTGACATTGAGGATTACGTGCGGATGAAATAAAATTATTTCTACTTCTGCATCCACTTCCCATAATGTCGTATTTGTGCTAAATAATGAAAAAAAATTTCACGTTAAAATCTGTGTTAATTACAATGACGGTAATTTTTTGAAAATTTTTTATACCACAGATTTTACCATGTTTACCGGAATCTGTTCAAAGTGCAATTTCCTCTCGGGATACCCGAAACACGTGGTGGATTTATTTTCCGTAAATTTTCTCATAGCTGGATTTACTTCTGGCAATTGTTTACCGCAACCCTGCAACAAGCTGCACTTACTTCCCACACGTGCGCCGTAATCGTAACCGCACACTGGACACACCATGCGTGTCCGTTTATCACGACTCGTCGTTAGCGGCATAAAGCACAGCGGCCAGCACCTGAAAACGCAGATGGCGCCTGAACAAACGGCACAATTAATGTATCCTGGAGGATTTGTGTCCCAGGCTTCTCCAAGGATACAAGGTATGATGGACGAGCTGAACCAGAAAAGTCTACTCGCTTGAATTCGTATTAAATAGGTCAGCGTTATCTCGCAGCGCTCTGCCAACTATTCATCTCGTGGGTACTAACCCTAAGAGACACAGGGCGCCCAGATGTGAACTCGTGAACTTGTGCTGCTTTACGGAAATTAACGGAGCAGATTCCTGATTGCACGATGGACATAGTAATCTTCTCGAGTGCCATTTCCACGTCTCGACTGGATTGATAAGATTGATAAGAGAAATGATAATGATCGGTAGGATGAAATTTTGAAAATAATTTTTTTTTTTCAACCCGTACGAACCTTTGGTGGAAAATATTTTTTTCTTTCTCATTGACATTGATGCATTTCTTGAGATTAGTTCAGGGTGGGATAATCGATTGATCTTATTCTTTAATAAACCTAATCTTGATCTTGATTTATGCAATTTATGATAACAGAGGCTGCACTGGAATTAAAAAGTTTTTGAAATTCTTTTTTTTTTTTCACTCGATACTTTCTACCCGTGGAACAATTTTGCATCGCGTGCATTTATTTTTGTTTTTTAGTGCATCGAAATTGGTGTTGGTAAAAAATGCAGGGAAACTAATGAAACTGTATTTTCGTGCTTGCTGTGCTTTAATTGCACGTTTATGAAATACGTGACGTGAAAACTCAGTGCGAGTAATAACGTCGTATCGAGAGTAGAGACACGTATCTTTGAAAAGCTTCGTTACGTTTCTAATGTTAACCACGGGTTTGTCCTTATGGTGCTATATGTACCATATGCATTTATGCGCATGGATTATCGCAATGTTACCGTACGAGGAGTTGCCAGTTGAATTATTTCTGTAATTGTATCGCCTTGCACCATATTAATCCTTTTTGCTCCTGACACTAATTATCTCTCGGCACGGCATCCACGTGTACTTTGGAAGGACGTAAATAAGATCGTGATCTTTTCATCTGCGACACTTGAGTCGCGTTCATGCGAACGGCGAGTTCGCCTTGAGAATTGAGGTTGCCCTCGTGAACTTGTATTTTTTATTTTTAACTAGAGCACCGGCGTGCTAGAGTCTAACTGCCTTGCAGTGGCTTATTAGTGATACGTTCATTCGGTGCATTTTTTTACTATGTAATCAGTTCTCTTTTTCAAGAGAAAGACAGAAAAGGATTCAAGCATACAAAATTGCTTTTGCCAGATCAACCCGTTCGTGTACCACATAGTAACCCCCTTTTGGTACTACCGAATTTTGGAAAAATTTTCAAATTTTTTCTTGCTTTAATTCTTAGAATCTAGATTCGTCCGAGTTATTGGGGGATGCATCGATCGTTATTTTCGCAATTTTCGGTTTTTGGGTAATATTGCAAAATATAAATAGAAAGGTAGTAATCAAATTTGAAAAATTTTATTTAAAATTAACAGCCACTGAATTTTCTTCGAGTGCGTCGCGCAATGCTAGCTCGCGAAAATTTTCAGGTGGGGCTGAAAGTCGCGCGTGCAAATCTTCTGATTCGTTCACTCTGGCTGACAATCCGTTATTCGTATCTTCGAAGATGCCGTAAAGATAACCGCACAGTGGACAGACCATACGAAACTTCTTAGCTTTTTTCGTCATTAACGGCGCGAAACAAAATGGCCAACACCTGTTGAAATTCGAAGTCACTTTTCTTTCCTTTTCCTTATGCTACGTGTAATTTATCTTTGTTAATGAAAGGAAAAAAACTGGACCGTTTAAAAAAATTTACTACCAATTTTTCCTATTTGAATCGCGACAAAATGTTGTCACGTGTCGTACGTGAATTCCGCATAGACTCGGGTATGTAAATTTAATTTTTTCAATTGACCAATTAAACGTACCCTAATAACCACAGAGCCGCCACGTGAGTGGTGGTCAATTTGTTTCCACGAGAATGAAGAGTGGGTCTCACTTCCGTTTGACATTTTGGACAGATTTTTCTCTCGCTATGTCTTTTCCAGGTATCAACTGTAAATTTATCAAATTTACTGAAATTACCTGATACCTCAAAAATTCACATTGAACAACTACCGCGTGTCGCGTAGACTCTCCTTTGCACTTTCCCGTCGGTCGAACACGTGGGATCTTTACAAACTTTCTTTTCCGGTAACTCTTCCCTTACGTTTAAGCCAACTTCCGGTTCCTGTCAAAATTCAGTAAAAAATCACGCAGGTCGCGATTTCTCGATACAAGCGATGCAAAAAAGTTCCAATTTTTTTTGTTCTTCCTTTTGAATCAAGAAAAATTTTCAAAAATTCAATTTTACAAGGAATTCAAGAAATATCTTAGGTATACAATGCAGGACTAAAATTATTCTACTGTCGAGGGTTCAGATACATTAAGTTAAGCTCTTCGGTTTAATCTTAATTGGGGCACAGCTTAACACATTACTTAAATGTGTCACGCGAGCTTTCGTGAGATTCCCACGTGTGCTTGACTTACTGTACTTGACCCACGCGATATGGAAATACATATAGTGGCTTATGGGATCCTATGTACAAAGTTACACGGGACAGTGTTATTACTCCATGTAACATATCGCTATATCGCTATCTATTTACATGGAGAGATACTTTTGCAAAAAAACTCTATTAGGATAACTTCAAGAGAATTTTTTTTCACCCACTTCCATCCTTACTACGCGATTCAAGTACCTGATATTCTGGATTATCTCTGGACTTCGCTGAATGACATTTGCGAATATGTTGGAGCAGCTCGTTCGTGTCTCGGCACTTTGAGCTTACCTGCTTATCGCAAATGGGACACCAGGTAGCGTCGTATGACTGTGAAATGAATTAAATTTGCAGAGTTGAAAAAAAAAAGTTCAAAGTATGTATATGACAAAAAATATATATTCCTCTGCTAAAAGCAAAAAAAACAGCTTTACTATTTATTTGAAATTTTTTTGAAAATTACCATGTAAGAATTTCACTCCTCGATTCTGATTCCGAGAAAGATCTTCAAGTATTGTTCTCCGTACCAAGGATGCTGCTTTGACTTGAGATTACTGCAGTATAGATGGATTGCCAACGTAACGATATAACCTAAATATTATTTAAAGAATTAACACAAAATCACCTAGAAATAATGAATTTCTCAATTACGGAATCTGCATGATTGATTCGCAATGAAAAAAGGAATTTTTGATTTAACCCCAAAATCAATCACTGTCCCCTTTGCCACTATCAGTATATCCTCACCTGACGTTATTTACATAATGTTCCTCTCGTGCAATATTTATCAAATATTTTATAATCAAGATTCATAACGAGACCACTCAATTTGAATATAATTTTCAAAAAGTAACTAAAATTACAGAAAAATCACAATTTCACAAACGTCATAATTTCGACTACTAGGTATGAAGTTACCTACAAATCACTAACAGCCCCAAATTCATTCGTCTGCGAATTATAACAATGATGACCAAGAGGCAGCCTGTACACTCCGTTAAAAAATTTTCGAAATAATTCATAAAAAAAAATTCGCCGTTCCAGATAATTAAAACGACTCCGCAAAAAAAAAGGCCATAAATTTTTCTCATTTTCACGCTTGATCCCTCTTAACAATTTCGTGGACGATACCTGGGGCAATTAATCATCGCTCAGCTGGCACTCTCGGTGAAAAGTTACATTAAAACTTGGAAATTAGAGGACACGATCGTAATATACCAAAAGTAAACTGTGGACCTCCCCCGGTACACTCCAGACAGAATTTCTTTTTTTTTTTTCTTTACCTCTTTTCATATTCCGCCCCCTCCCTCTCTCTCTCTCTCTCTCTCTCTCTCTCTCTCAAGAGTTAGCCAACTCGGCTCAGCCCTGTCGCATTTTAGAAGTTACACACCAGGGCGGAAGCGATCCTTGAAGGAAATAGTCCTCGAGACCGAGAGAGCTGCCGAGTATTACCAGAATACAGGATAGCTAAAGTCAAAAGTTTGAGAACAAAGACTGGCACAAAGGCTTGTCACGGTTGGTAGCTCTGATGTGACTGCTGTATAATACATGCTCGATGCTCCCAAGAGCAAAGCCTCAGGATTAAACAGCCTCGGAGTAAATTCACTTGTATATATATTCTCATTCTTTTCTCTCCCAGTAAATATATATATATATATCTATCTCTCCCTCTACCTCTTGGCCTTTCCTACTAAAATTACGTATACCAACATTTTGCACTGATCGACAGAACCTTTACTCGAGCTACGCTCCATTTTCTCTTACTTCGTCTTAGAAGAAAACAGGCAAAAGGCCGATAAACATAATTGATTTTAAAGACATACTCTCCTATGGTTTACATACGTGCATGAATATATATATATATACATACACAGACTATAACGACTCCCCGATTAAATATCAAAGAAAATAAATGACATCGATCGAGCATCACAAGATACTTTTAAGATCGTCTCTTTATCGTCATAATAAGTATATGCCTATGTATATACATAAATCGTTAATCTCGCAAGAAGTTGTTCAAATAGACAAAAAATATATACACTCGGCTCGTTACAAGCTCCTCGATACCTTCCCACGATGCGCCGCTCTCCCCCATTATTATGATAACACGCAAGGAACCGTGACCGAGAAATACTCCTAGTGGTGGTTTCCACATTGTGCATCTACATGCTCCGTGAACGTAGACACGCTCATGAAATATATACACATAGTCT